ATCAGGGAGGTAGCCTGTTTGATAGAGATCATACACCCACCCTGTAATTCTCCTCTTCCTCGGGTGTTTCATTTTCCCTCAAACCACTACAACAACTGCTTATACCAGATGAAGAATGTGAGAATGGCTGCATCACACAGTATCCTGAAGTCTGACTTCCGAGCATTCTGCGAAATGCAAGCATTTGACATGATCATGCTTATTGTTACACATAGGCTGGCACTTTTTGTGACATAGCTTTATTATATAGCAGTCAAAAACAGTAAGAAGAAATTATTCATCTACAGCTATTTTTTCCACCTATAAACAGAATTCAGGTAAACTGGTTTGTATTCCTTAATTTCTAGTTGCTACTTCATTTAGTAGAAACACCGCTTCTTGTTTCCATTCTGGATAACTGTATGAAAGGACAAGACTAACTGAATTTTTAAGTCACAGACTGAAGTGTCTTAAAGCAGAGTGAGTCAAACCACCTGCATTTAGGCACTGTTTACCTCTAGACATTTGTTAAAATCAACAGATTTCAGGATCCTAAATACAACATGATGAGGTGTTAAACTGAGTATAAAGGAAAGGCACTACCAAGCCTAGGCCACCCATTCCCACAGCCACTCTCTTACATGAAATTCCAGACAGTACAAGGGGACAGTAAAAGCACACTTCTTCATGTCATAGAGCATATAAACTGTCATTGCTGTGTTTCTGGACAGGAGGAGTCAGGAAAGAATATAGACATTAACCAGTATTACGGAATGGTTAACTAAGAAAGCTTAAGGAAGCAATGGGGAGGTAGAAACAAACTACTGAGATCTGCATTGGTTTAGGATGTCTCGGTGCCAAACTATTAGTACCAAGTGCCAAGTTCTTGCAGAGACAGGTTAGAATCCACCTCCTGCTTACAGATAGGAACGTACCTAGGTCAGGATGCCCGTCCTGGTGATTTTGCATGTGCCCAGTTGCCAGTAGACTGGCTCCTAGAGGTCCATCCCACTAGACTTTCAGCTCCCACAGGGTCATTACAAAGGGAACATTCAAAGCAAACTGTATTGGATCACTTGACCACCACCACCCTCTCAAATATCATGGATTCTGAGGTAGCCTGGTGCATGTTTTGTATCTGTCAAGAAAGACCCTTTAGGTCAGCTTCTTCCAGCTCAGAATTTGGGATCCACTGCTTGGATCACTGCTAGGAGAAAGAGCATTCCATGAGGGTGATATGCTTACGTGGTGGAAGGTGCACTGTGCATGTGAGCCTAACATTTATGGTGAAATACTCACTGCCTAAACAAGAGATCAGCCAATAAAAGAGAGATGAAGTTCTTAAAAATGTTAAGAAACCCAAAAAGCTAAAAGAGGCAAGAAAGATAAGACACCTTTAACATACTAAATATATTTATTCCTTCAGAAACACTGCAAAATGTGGCCAGTCTTGACCTACAAGCAGTAATGAAACCTAAAGTCCCAGGCATATTACATGCCAGCATGCAACAGGGAGAACAGTAATGAGAGGGCCAATAGAGGCCAAAGATATTTCCTCAGGAGATCAGGAAATATATTTTGGAGGAAATGAAGGCCAACATGCTTCTCCCTTGGCAGAGCAAATCAGTAACATGAATTTAAGTGAGCTGGGACCTAGATTTCCACAAAGTATCTCCTTCTTGGCATCCTTCCTCAGCAGGTTTCTCCATCCTCATTCTCTGCACTGCACTTCCTGACCTATGTCATCCAAAGGCACTAGAGACAGAGGTGGAAACATGTTCTTCTGCTCTTGCCTTCTGCGGGCCAAGCTGTTTTCTTCTCACTCATCTGAGGGGAGGAGAAGGGGAGGCACTCAAGGTAGCCTCCTTCCCCCATCATTAGTAGAGGTTGATTCAGTGGCTGCTGATTGGGCAATGGGAAGGGCACAGAGCCAAAATGCTCCAATAGGAGCTATCCATCCATCTCCCTTTCCCAGGATTCCTGCTCCAGGAACTGCCAGTGGAGCATTACTTGGTGCTACTTGGTCTCTCCACAGTCTTTGAGGTCCTCTAAGTAAGTTCATGCTCCTCTTAGCCAGGACTCTGACTTCACCCCAAAAGTCTTGCCAGTATCTTCAGTGAGGTAACCAATGACTGAGTAGCATCCGGTCCACTCCTGATTGGCTTGATGTCCCCACTCAGATGTGTCTGAGGAGGGAAAACACACACACAAAAAAACCATGTACTTCTCCTAGGATTTGGACATACACGGTACAGTGCTTGATTTTTCAGATGCAACCCAGAAAGCTGCCTGATCCTGAGGAGTTTCACTACCTGATTACTTAGAACCCAGGTTCATTCCTTTGAGTCTGTCCCTTGGGAAGAAGGATTATTTGGAAGACTACCTGGACAGTGGAGCAAAAACTAAGGACAATTGACCCTTTATGTGGGAGAGAAGATGCTGTTAGCCCAAGTGAACAATGTGGTTTCATGGATTACAGGCTGATCCCTGCAGAAACTTGTGTTGGAAATCAGCATGTGAGGACAGAAAGTGCTGGTTTGTCTCTACTGTAAAAGAATTAATCTATTACTTATGTGTTATCTTTGCATTTATTTCCCAGTTTATTTTAGTAGAACATAGATGAAGATCATTCAAATCTGGAATCTGAAATTATTATTTAAGACCAGCAGCAACATGCTGGACTTCTTGTGGTAGAGAAATTTCCTGTGATGCTACTCCCTGGAGAGAACCAGGAGTGGATTGATGACATACTAAAAATGTTATCCCTGGTAGTATCGGCTGCATAAATTACTCTAGAGCCAGCTGGAACTCTTTTTGCGTTAGAAATATGCCTGTATCATGATCCTGAGTTGTGGTTCCACAATTAATGAACAATAAGTAGACTATTTCAGTAGAACTGTTTTTGAGACAGACTGTTAGAGTTGCACTCCTAGCCTATTCCTGCATACTGTGCTAATATTGTCTTGGTGAAAATGGTGTGCTTTACATGGTGGAATTACATGTCCTTGATTCCCTGTCCCAGATATGATGCAGAAGGTATGACTGCACATGGGCTGGTCCCCAACTCTGAAATCACAACTCTAACTCCATCTAATCACCAATTGTGCAAAGCTCCATGCTACATCCCACCTTGTAAACAGGAATGGGCTAAACCACCGCAACTGTGAAAAGACTTTTTCTGGTGATCGTACAAGTGGTTTTGAATCCATGAATGGTAAAAGACGCACAGAGAGAATCCTGGGGACAGAAGTAGACACACTGGCAAATCATACAGGTCATGCCTCATGTGCATAAACAATATTCATGCAAGTATTGTTAGTGAAATACCATGCTATGTTTGCTCTCTGAAGCCTGTGATATCAATTTGAAACAGCCATTGCAGCTGGCTCACCTCCTCACCTGATGAATGGAGAATAGGGGTTGGGAAGTGGGGAAGCCCGCAATCAAATGAAAAAATCAGGAATAGATGTCAAGAAAGTTTCATAATTTTTTTCCTGGACTTGCACACATAGTAACCAGGACTAGCCAAGCTATGAGATGTTTTCTTACTATGCAGAATTCTTGCTGATTATCCAAGATTACTTCAGCAACCTAATCAGAGCAAGAGTCCCTCACATGTGCCTAGCCAGTAACTTCTAGTTCACTAACAAGGTTCCAGGGAGGATGAGGAAGGGGAGGTGGAACAATGTGGTAATACTGGAAGATGGGAGTTGTTGACCAATCAGCAGTTCCATGTTCTGCATTCTCTCTTCTCCTTGACTGCCAGCGCTAGCATCTTAAATGGTCCCCATCTCCTAGCTGTGCTTCCATCCTCTTCCCCACCAAAATTCTGGACACCTACCCAACGCAAAACCTAGTATCACAAAAATGTACTTACCAGAACTCTGCACCTTGGATGCAACAAAATTCTGGGCAGTGCTACAGCATACAGTTGGGTAGCTGAACTACTACAGATAGTCACCAGCCTGTAATTCTTAGGGAGCATTGGGTCTAGTTGGAAGGAAGGCCCTTCCTCATCAGACTTGGCACCTGGAGCAACTTCAACCATAGAGGCCTGGCTCTAGGGTACTTCCTGAAATTCTCTTAGAGCAGCCCCAGTCCTGAGAAAGGTACATGCCCTACTACAAAGTACTCGGTGCCCTTTTTGCCACAGGTCTCATCCAAGTTCTCATGAAAAGAAAAAAAAAAAAAAAAAAAAAAAAAAAAAAAAATCAGGCATGGCAAGCTGTTCCAGAAAGTCAGCTGCAGTCTTAGATCTAGGCTGCTCTAGAGTCTTGGAAATGTACACATGTGGTTTCTGTGAAATCCTGAAGTATCCTAGATAGGATCACATCCCATCATAATATGGCTTAGCAATAGCAAAGCTGCACTACCAGGAAAGCACATTTTTCCAGTTTTTGACCACCAGAAACTGGAGAACTATTTTGCAGACTACTGCATGAAGTGTTTTGCAGAAGAACACTGTGTGTGGTATGGCGTGCTTTAGCAATGAAACATGGGTGCAACACATGAGACCCTGCTGTAACACTCGCTGTAATACTCTGGGAGGACTGAAGACAATCTAGTTCACGCTGGTTGGGAGCAGCAGCATGAATCCTGTTTAAAGGGGCAGAACTCAAATACAGTCCAACATCCCAACATACCCTTGACAAGCTTCTCCGTGAAGCTCCAAAATCACGCCAGAGCAAACTATAGAGGAAACATATAGATGAGTAAGTATGGATAATTGGACAGCTAGGGCTTTGTGTATCCTGTTGGACGCAAGCTAACATTACAGTAAAGATATAGCCAAAATCACTTTTAAGTGGTCCAATCTTTCTTCACTGGCTGTTTAAGAAAGCTGAGTTCCTTCCTTAAATGCTCTGAATTACTGTGCCATGACCAGACATCTAACTTTTAAGATGCTGCAATGCCTGATGTGAACAATCTCAGTAAAGCCTCCAACAGAGCAAGACATGCACCACTCTTAAGCCAATACCAGACACAGTGAGCATCTTTCAAATATTAAAATTATTTTCAACTCACTTGCTCTTCCTGCTGGGGAACTCTGGGGAGCTGGGACTGGATGATCCATCAGACTTCAGGTCAAAGAAAGTTCCTGGACTGTCCAGCACCTTCTGTATCTTCTCTGCAGTGTCTCTGCTGGGACAAAAGAGAAACCAGCTATACCCTAGGGCCAGAGTTAACCATCTATTCTAACACTTCCTTACAAGCCACAATACAGAGCTGGATCTGTCTTATACACATGAAAGGGAAGCAAATGCAGCTGTGTTGTAAGGAGTCTGCCCTTTTCATGTGACCTGTTGAGGGTACTATATTAGAAATGGTCAACTGTAAACTCTTTTTGAATTGATATATAAGCCTAAATTCATTTCAGTATTCTCCTTTAATTCTTCAACTTTTTCTTCTACCCTCCCCATTTCATTAGTCTTAAGAAGCTTTAGGATTAATTAGAGAGCTTGTATGTTTTATTGCATAAGGAAAAAGGATTCAGCCAATTTCCGTGTTTCAGGATGGTTACAACAGCTTTATTGCTGCTAGTCCTTGTCAAGATACTTCTGCAGAAAGCTGTCTGTGTGAGTAACTGAAAAGCGGGGTATGTTTAGTTAAGGACTGGAAAACTCAAATTTTTGTTGGTTTTTTTTTTGTGTCTTCAGTGATGGAGCTCACAAAGTTCCTCCTCTGCTCTCTCAGTCAGTTGATCCTACCTGTACCCCTCACATCACAGTTCCTCATTCCCTCACTTGGGCAAATACAACTGTTTGTGAAACTGGAAATTATCCTGACAAAAAACGATCCTGAAACTACAACAACCCTGAAACTTCTAGGACATATGAACAAGCGGGATGGACTGGGTCAGCTCTGTCATCAAAGCCTGAGTATCATTAAACTACAGCTTCAGGGTGAAGTCACACACGACATGTTGAGCTCACTGTTGCCAGAGAGCGAGCCTTCTCCAGCCTCCTCCACTCCTGCTGAGTGTACTTTCCATCAGTCCTGGTACCCATCAGACTTCTCCATGACCCAGTTCATGGCTGAACCTGGCAGACAATTAATCCAATGAAAGAAAGTTGATACTTTTTCTGTTAGATTAACAGGCTGAATCAGTTCCATGAAGGGTCCACTAAGCATCTGAGCCATCACAAGGAAAGGGACAGAATTGGGTAGTTGAAAGAGACACTGGGATAGGGGAAGTGTGATATCTGCTTTTCAGTAACAATGAACTGTTAGAACAGACCAGTTGCACCTTGAAGAATCACTCAAAAAGTCTTTCACAAAACACAAGATAAGGCTCACTGTTCCTCATATCTAAGATTACAAACCAGCAAATGAAAGCTAAATAAACCCAATAGCATACCAATTACCTCCTAATAAAGAGCAGGAAAAAAAAGAAAATAAAAAATAAATCCAGGGGTTTTTCCTTGTAGAAAGCTTCTATAGGTCTTTTAAGGGGATAGTGAAGGATGTTGTACACAAAGTAATGGATTGAGGGGCACAGCAGCATAAGCTACAAAACTAAAGTAGTGAGGAGCTGTGGCTGCTGTGTTGGCTTAGACTGTTACAGGGAAGTCGTCTCAGAAGAGTCTATTTTTCTCAAAGAAAGTTTTATTTGGATTAGGTCATAGGCACCTCATAAGGAAAGGTCCAAGAGAATAACTGGGAAGAAGGGAAAGTAATTCTTCCTGTTGTGAAATCACTAGTTTCCACATTAAAGATGGCTTTTTCCCCTTATACACTGAGTCTTTAAGCTGTTCCCTGGAATTCTTGCAACTGGGAAAACTGTATATTAGATGCAGAGCACTCATGTGACTTTTGAGACACTGTATAATCTTACAAAGACATCGCAGCCAGAACAGACACAAATTTATTGTTTTAACTAAATCTCTCATGACCTGTAGACAATTTTTGAATGGTTGTAATTGTCAAACATTCCAAATCACTCCTTAAACCTGTATGTTACCCCTCCATCATAATTATTTCTCAGACCATATAAGGTAAATATTAGTCACTTTCACTTAAAAGTTTTTTTAAAAACATCATTTTTTTAAGATATCAGAGGCTTTGTCTTTTTGAACTTTTTAACATGAAAACAAACAAGCAAGCAAGCAAGCACCCTATTCCCCCTTCTCAAGTATAAGCCTTTCATCTGACTATTATCTAAAAGTGGTGAATACAGAACAGGAGAACCAAATTCCTGGATCATACTGCACAATTTTTAAGAGCGATCTTACTAAGTTCCTCAAGCAACCTTGTCCCTTCTTCCTCAAATATTGATTCTCCCTATTTCCAAATGCCCTTTAAAATTTTGTTTGTTCCTGTCACTTGTCCATTTCTCCATTAGCTGATAATCTGGCTTTTCTTCCCATAACAATCATTTCCATTCTCACTCCTGTCAATATCCTTTCTGTCCTTGTATGTGCCTTTCTATTTATCTTTTCTCATCTCCTCCTGTTTTTTTTCTCTCTTTGTCTCATCTTCCCACAGCTCATACCTCTTTTCTTCCTGTATGTTCTCAATGCCAATGGCACTACTCCGTCGCCCATGGAAGCGGCTGGCTCGAGTACGCGATGGGCTCCTACCAGGCAAGGCAAAAGACTAGAAAAAAGGAAAGTGTGACAGAAAGGAGGGAAGGGAACAAGACAGGGAAAAATGGAGAACTGGAAGCCTGGGAAAGGGAGTTTGTGATCCAGATGCTGTCCTTTACTCTGCAATACAATAGCGTGGCCCAGCTCCACCGGTGCAAGGAGTACTTTCTGTCAGTGAGAAAGAGAAGCTAGGGCTTACAAAGGTGGTATGAGAAAGAGACAGAAAGATACAGAATCAAAGGCAGAACAAGATACACAGCCAGTATATAGGCTCAGGAAGGGAGAGGGAATCCCCATATGATGGGAGAAGGAGAGGCAGAATCAGAACGGCAGAGAAAACTAGAAGTTGAAGGAGAGGAGGCAGCAGCAAACTCAAGTCATTACTATTCTGTGACTTTGTTATGCTGACATAAAGAATGCATACAACTGAGTAAACTATCACCAAGAAATTTCCACACTGAAAGGCACCTTTCTTGGCTTACTCAGCGATTTTTTTTGTAGTTTGCCTGTATTGACATCACTAGCGCAGAGACCACAGTCAGCTGGATGTACTTTGGCCAAGGTAACCATACTTCCAGCATCAGAAACATGGTTCCTTTTCTGGAAGCATCTGTCATGGAGTTATTATTACATATGTTTAGTATCCCTATCAAATAAGAAAGGCTTTGATAGTGACTAGAAATATTCACTCTTTTTCTCACCCCAAACTTTATTAATTCTGCTGTTTGTTCCCAACATGCAAAGTCTATTTACAGCAAAACAGCACCTTGAATAAACATTGTGCGCTTGTTTATATTACAGAAAAGAATCTGATTGGTGAAATTTAAGGAAATGGAACAGATCTAGAGTCCTTGTGTTCTCAGCTCTTTGCCTTATGACAATACAGTACCATTCTGGTCAAACCACAGTGCATGCATTTTTTTAAGGTATGGCAACGTACAGGATCTAATCCAGGATAGCAGAGAGAGATGTCTGATGTAGAATCATGTTTGGCTTTCCTCTCCCAGTCTGCAGCTCTAGTTTACAGATGAACTGGGGCTAGATATAGGCACAGACAAAACAGACTGCAACACATGCTGTCACCGCTTGTGAAATGGGATGATACAACAAAAAGAGATTCACAGAAGGACAAGAGGACAAATAGGGTAAGAGAAATAAAACGTATGGGTGGGTCGCAAAGGTATGCCAGGTTTCTTCTTACAGCCCTCCCAAATACCTTACCGCAGCAATGGCCTTAGGGCCCTCGGTGACACTCTGGCTGAGGGCAAGGCCAGCTGTAGTTGGGCGGCTGGGCAGGGTGGCTGGCTGCTGCTTTCTCATGGATATCCCCATGGTATCCAGGCTCTGGCTGCGGCCTCTGATCACCCGCTGAACAGAAGGGAGGCAGGGAAACAGACAAACACAGATACACATATAGACATGCACACGGTAGGGCAGCATGAAAAGCACCACAGATTGGGTGGAAAGTTGTGACAGACCAACACCAGAACCACAAAAATCCTAACTCCTAGAAGGCAGCATGTTAGATATTACCCACTTTTGGTCCTAGCTGATTCATGGTGCTCACTGCCAGGGAAGAACTCTTTCTCAAGTATATTCTCCACTTTCACCTCCCTTTTCCTGTTGCAATAAATAGAGATAGCCCTACCAGTATCCCAGCATACTGGGTAAACCAGCATAATCTGGAGCAGTCCTACCCAGTACAGGCTACAAAACACAAAATCAAACTCCTGTTCAAGACTGTAAGGTTCAGTTTTGCATGAACTTGAGTGCTGGTTCCAAAGGGTATCAGCAGTATCAAAATCTGGAACATTTGAAAAAGCCATTTTCTGAGTTTACTCAGCCTTTTCCAGCCTTTTACAAAGGTCATCTGTGTACATGACATGTAAATCACAGCATCTGCTACAAGTCAGAAAAGGACATTTTGGGATAATTAGTGTAAGACATGGATGGGTATGAAATTCCTGGTTAGCAGCACAGGCAAGGCAGAGTGTACATAAAAATATACTTTAACAAAGCATCCCAGCTCTGACCAAAGCTACGCATATAACTACCAAATCTCATGTGAATGGATTAGTTTCACAGCCCTTAACAGCTCTAACCAGCCCACCATACAAAGCAGGCAGAGGTCATCTGAAGAAATACTATTTATAATACCTCTCTTTGTCCAGACAGATAATTTATTATTAAGTGGTGAGGCATTTCTCACAGCAATGGAAAAGGGGAAGTAGATAGGAAAGTGAGATAAGATTCTCTCTATATGATCTGTTCAAAACTGTTTGCCTGTTCATACAAAAACTTTGCTTTTGCTTTCTCATATCATGTTGATCACTTTTAAAAGTGTCACCTAATCCTGATTTATTTAACAAAAAGGTGGGGGGGGGTGGTGAAGGGCAGGGAAGCGTCATCTACACTGAACAAAGGTGAATTAACTCCAGCTTTTAGAGGGTATGTAGAGCATCACAGTTTTTTCTAGACAGTACACTCACAGATATTTTAGAATCTCCCTTGCTGTGGCTCTTGCGGCTCCTTCAGAAAATTAATTGGAAGAGATCTGGTGTAGAAACTGAAAGCTGCTTGCTACTAGTTATTGAAATTCCTCTTGCAAACACTCACTACCTTTTTTTTAAGTCATGGAGTGAAACCCTATCTGACACTGGACACCAGCATGAAGCATAAAGAGTTTGACTTCCCAAGGACAATATGGAATTCCACCCTGGATCATGCTGTAGCTCTGTAAGAAAGGAGCACAGGAAGGGAAAAAATGTCTTTTCTTGAGAGATACAGTAAAGCCCAGTTGAAGACGCTCTAAAGAAACGCTGCTGGATGGAAAGACTTCTTTTCTGTCTCACCCTAACCACAGCTGATCAGCAGGGTCAATATTCCTTGGAGGGACACACAATGAGCTTGAGAAAAGTGTGAGCAACAGGGTAAGGAATCAGTCCATTACAGCTCACCTTGAAATTCTCGAGGAAGCCCCCACTGCCATTCTCTATCTTGTCATCCTCCCCTATGGGCAATCCCATCATACTGCGGCTTCGAAGCTGCAGCTCCTCAAAAAGGCTCTCCAAGAGGGCACCCCGGGTTCTTTCCTGCATCAACAGTGGGAATGAAAACACAGCTATTATTGGGAGTGGAGGTGTTGCCCCACCACCACCCCATTTTTACAATGTTTCACATCTTCCTTAAAAAAAAAAAAAAAACCAAAATCACTATGAAAATGAATTTAAACAGCATGAAGTGGTTTTAGCTATATCGTTAGGGAATATATTACAGTAATACCCAGCCCCTTTAAATTCTTTCTAAAGCAAGTCACAGAGGACATCAGTACTTTTTTTTTTTTTTTACAGGTGATGAAACAGAGGGCAGTTTTTTCTAGATCAGGCAAGCAGCAGAGTCTGGAACAGATTTTTGGTACCTTGAACAAAAACCGGCGGTATTTTTACAGCATGCTACGCATCCTGTAGCACAATACTGAGTTTCAGCTAACAGAGAATTTCCTCCAGCAAAATGTATGCATCATATTCCCATTCTTACTTGAGGATTAGATCTTTGCATTAGAATGTAAATGATCTTTCACATTCTGTTCATATTCTATCAAGCCGACTTTGAAATACAAAGGAAGCATCACATAGCTGAGTATGATTGCATTTCATCTTCCTTTTTTAAGCAACACAAAATTACAAGTAGAAGAAAGTAAAAAATTTATACTGGATTTTCTTAATCTGGCAGTAATACAGTTTTATAATTTTAATGGAAGCAGCCAGATAATAGACCTACCTCTAATTTAGCAAATTTCTCAGCTCGATAGCAGCTGTACTCAGCATTGATGAGTTTGACCAGGAGGAATTCACGGAACTCTGCACTCTACAAGACAAGATGAAGACTAGACTGGAGATGAAAACAGGAATAAAGATATCACATGAGGAAAGCTCTGCCTTACGACTCTTTAGACCTCCAAAGTCATCTAGCCAGACTGACTCGGACACAAGGGTATGTACCATATCCCCCGGCCATCTAACACTGGACCAGAGAAACAAACCTTTCTAAATATGGCTGGATTTGGCAGAGGGGGTCCAAAGAAAGGGACATCATCTCGGGCTGTGACTGAAACCTGAAAAAGGGGAAAAAATAAGTATCATAACAGAAGTGAGATTATCAAACCCTTCAAACTACTGTAGTACATCTGATACCTCCTGAATTGTTTACATATCCAAAAGAGATCTAATATGCTGTCCTGTGCATCCATCTGTTTTCTGTATTCAGTGAATGGATGTGCTCATTTATCTCCCTGAAATTAATCAGCTAGACGTGCACATAGTAAGAGCAACAAAAAATAATTGAACCGATTACTTTTTAAAAAAAATATTTGTAATAAATATTAATAATAACCAGTGTTTTTAGAACAAAAAAAAAAAAAAAAGATGCTTCTATTCAGCCTGCAAGATTTACCTCTACTAGAAGAACCTTTGTCAATTGACCTATTTTTTTTGACAAGAGAATCCTCAGTGTAGATACACTGCACACTGAGGGGAGTATCTCAGCAACACAGCCCCTCTGAGTCACATGTGGTAAGCATACAAAAGCACTTTCCCAGTAAGAGATAAGGAAATCCATGCAGAGGCTGTTTCGGATTTGTTTGGTTGGTTGGTTTGGGGGTTTTGGGGGGTTTGTTTTTTTGTTTTTTTGTTTTTTTTTTTTTTTAGCATGCTCCTACTTGACATACCAATGCCAAAAAATGTAACTGTATTGCAGCCCAATTTTTACATACTGTCGCTTGGATCTTCACAGCACTTACCTATAATTATATGCAGCTATCTTACCAGATGCGTACAGCACTTAAGAACATTTCAGGGGTTTTTTTTTTGTCATGTTTGAGATGGAATAATACCATTATTTGCCATTTCATACAACACAGAACAATGTCAGAACAACTTAACAGCAACTGCCTCAAAATAACACTCCAGTGTAAACATCACAGAGCCAATGAGAGACATGAGTTTAACGAGAGATAGGAGGGAAGGGGCCCTTGACTCATTTCAGATTTCTCACAATTGTAGGCCAGGTCCCCTAATTACAAGGCCTCCCTCTCCCTCCCAGTAGATATCTACCCGTTAAAATCCTGCTTTGCATTTTTAATTTTCCGATTGTAAAAATTGATTCAAAGAAATAAATTCCATTAATATTCCAATTTAACCACTAGGCACTTAAGCTTAAGTAAATGGAACAATGGATTGAAAAACATCTTCCCAAACTGCAGTCTCTTCCGTACTGGAATGCTCTCAAGGCAGAATGAGTTAAAACCCCTTTGGCAAAGCCTTTACAGAAACTCTGGATTGGCTCTAGGGTCCTGACTGGTAGGATTTCTTTTTCATGAAATGATATAGGCAACCCTATTACACTGACAAAAACAATGCCACTGCAAACACACAAAGACAAAAACAACATCAGGAAGAGACAGGACAAACAACAAGCTTCCCAGATCTTTGTCCTGTCATTAAAAAAAAAACAAAAACAAAAAAAAAACCACCACCAATTAATTTCTGTGCCCTACAAAACAGAGAGCGAGAGGAGAACTGGAACCCCATGCCCCTGATCAACATGAGGCTGTTGTCTCACTACAGACCTGGCATACAGAGCAATGAAAGCACCCCAGCACCCTCTTTGGTGGGAAAGGAGATGGGGATCCTGTCATAATTATGATATCCTTGGTGTCCTTGTAGACCTCCAAGGCATAAGGACTCATCGTCACCAAATCAGAATTCCTACATAATATGAGACCCAGCACTTTGATTAAAATGTTTCTACAATGGAAAACCCATCACAGAATGCAAGCATGACTGAAATTTGAACATAAAAGTTATACAGACATCCATACAGTCACGTGACAGAGAAAAGAGCTATGTCTAAAGGCTGCAGACAGGGAATTCATGCTGTAGCAGGACTTCTTTCAACTGGAGGGCCCTAACAGGTAGCACTTCTCTGCCAGATGGGCATCTGTTCTGGGATCCCGCAAAGCAGACATAGCTGGTTCGGACTCCATAGATTAGTCCAACAACCTGCAAGTTCTCAGTACTGTGCTCTGCAGCATGAGCAATGCAGACATGTCTGTCAGTCAGGTGAATAAATTTTACCTGACTTATAAAATGCAAGCAAGACATCTCCCAAAATGGCATCCATTGCTCATCGTGCTCTTGGATGTAAACAAAAATTTCTTTTCTGAATTCATCCTGCTTCAATTCCCAAGCATTAAGCTTCAGAAATTCATCAACTACATTGAAATGCGTACAAGTACATTCTAGTTTCATGTGCAGATACTTAACAAATTGTTCGAATTATTCTTTAACTTTCTATTTGCGAGGTAGAGGCAGTAAGCAGTCTTGGATCCCCTTCATTAAAATACTTGTGTTACAGAATTTTAATCATTCTCAGCCTCACCTCTGTACAGGGGTACAGCTTATCAATAGCTTTATGAAATCTGAACACTCAACAAACATGAACACAGATTGCTAAATAGTAGCAATCACACCAAACAGACAGGACCTCTGCAAACCTATAGAATAGAGAACAACATAGCAAGAAGGAGACTCCTGGTCAGAGATTAAAGAGTGGACGAAGGGGAAGGAGAGCTGGTGGCAGCTACTGGATTTCTAGGTTTACTGGTAATAGATCTAATTATTGCCTTTCACTGAAAACATTGATCAAGTTTACCAACAGAGCAAGCAAAGCTGTTAGGATGACAGCTGGCTGAACCTCTACCTCTCCCAGAGGCCCAAGAACAGGATTCCACTCCGAGGATCAGTATCAGTAAACCAGCACAGAGGAATCTATTGGATCTTGTTTACCTTGTAGAGAGTGTCCCCAGTGGTGCCATGAGTGAGCTGAACTACCACATAGGCATGTAGGAAATTAGAAGCTATCATATCAGGGACAAAAGGCGTGCTTTCATCCTGGAAGATGATGGCTACAATGTCATTCCCAATGTGACGCTTCCGCTGAAGCTGGAGAAGAAAACAATAGTAACATGAGAAGACAAGTGAAAAAGAATAGAACAGTATGATGGGGCCTCAAACACCAGTCTGTCTAGCATCCCCAACCTATCTGTTCAACCAAACCCCTCATCACTACTTCTACCATTACTCCAGCTGTAATTCCCAGCATTACAGAGTTAGGCATTCTCCCCTCTGAGTAGCCCCTCATCAAATACCCCTCCCCTCTTAGCCACACAGTCCAATTCCTTAGTTCTCCTTCCAATACCTGCTGGGAATCTCCCTCTGTGAAGGGCAGCTTTGTAGACACATGAAACATGATCTCCTTGCCCCGGAAATTTGTATAGACTGACTCAGTGCCTGTTTGACCTCTAGTGACATCCAAGCCTCCCCGGAACCTGAGCAAATCCATACCACGCCATAGGTAAGGCAGGACAGAGATGAGAAAGTGGAGAGAAGAAAGAAGGTATCAGTAAAAGTAGCTTGGTACATCAACATTATCACAGGTGATTTTTAAGAAGTCAGTGATCGTAGGGCACCAAATCTTCCCAAAACAGATGACTGAAGCTGCACAATGCTTCTGCTGATGAACAAACTTGCCTGCTAAAAGCTATGAAGCTAAACCAGGGATCCACAAAGGAGCTACTTTCTTTGGCATTCTTCTGAGAAACACGATCCGTATTTTAGAACCACAGAAAGGACCGGCTGTCCCACAGAAACAGACTAAAACACTACTGACCCCTACCATTGTGAAACAAACTTACATTTACAGAATCAAGTAAAATTATTCTTTACTCATACTGTGGGTCGGATTGAGACACCAGGAGACCTTTAAATGAAAATACCAGCAGAGACCTAAGCTCCAACTGGTTCCCAGACAGGATGGTAGACAAAAGCATTCTGGGCTTTTCCATCTGCACTGGGATTCAGAGGACTCAGCACTTTTCTGAAAGCAGGGCTTTAACAGAGTCGCAGATTCTGAACACACGGCATTCCCTAACTCAGTCTGGCTTTCCAATGGCACAGGGTACTCACCCACGGAAATCCTGCAGCTGAATCTTGTCACCAAGGAAATCCAGGAACTCCAGGAAACCCAGACTCTCTTCTGTGTTACCGAAGACTTCTTCTTCGGTCGTCTTCAAAAGGAAAGGAGAAGTCATAAGGAGCACAAGCAGTATAAAGAACAGGCAGTAATTTTTATACACAGTTCAACCAGCTTTGAGGACCTGCACACACAAATCAATCAACTTAAGGCAAGCTTCTATCCTTTCTCTTTATGGCGTCTATATTTTTCACAGGATAGTACAGACCTTGTTATTACATTTAAGCTAAGAGAATTGACTCTTTTTGCTTTGCCTTCAGTGTTGTGGGATCTAAGAGAGCCTACCTGTCCAGGTTTCTGGTAGATGACCCCAAATTTGAAGTTATTGCTTATGACATGTTCATCAAACGCAACAATAAGCTGTGAAGCCTGAGGTAATGAAAATACAAATTATCAGTTGGACATCATTAGCCAGACCTTGATGGAAAAGGGACATACAGACTTAGCAGAACATTATACCTTGGGGTAGAGGACAGGAAAGAAGCGTTCAACATTCACATCCTCACACAGTAGCTGTCAAGTGAGAGAGAGAGAGGGAAACAGAAGTGTGATTATCATGTGCCCTAGCTTGTTGTGGGCATGACAGCATAGGCACTGCTTATAATTATCTGACAGGAGTCCCTTCAGGCAAAAATTATGAGGTAAAATTAGAAGAGAAAGAAAAGATGCTAAATGGAAGTGTAAAAGTGAAGTATATGACAGTACTATTGGGGAATAGTAGAAAAGAGGGAAATGGGAGGACAGAGGGGAAAATAACTTGAAGAATGGGGATATGAGAGTGAACAGGCAAGCACAAATCTCACCTTTGCCATCTGGACAGCACTGGGAAGCTCACTCAGACAGGAAATGGGGATCAGGTCATGTTTGGTGCCAGTCCGAGTCCTGACACAAAACAAAAAGCACTAGAGCAAAAGCTGAAGGGAGACATAAGCAACACTGGCTCTTTAAAGAAAGAGTAGCCATTCCTTAAGATTATCTTTGAAGCAGTTAATTCCAGAGGATTAATTTTAAGCCTGGTGCATAAAATCACTGGAAAATGGAGGTATTTACATTTCTTATTGCTCATCACTTGTTGAGGGCAGCAAAGGAACAAAAAACAGGGATGCTTAGTCTCTTGCTCCTTTGCATTCTTTTCTTGCTTGAAGAAATATCTTTACCTTCCCCCCACCACCACCATTTTCTTTCACAGAAATCTAAATGTTGAAATACAATTCATGGACACAGCGTTAGAATGGATTCATGAGATCATACAATGAGGGTCTGAAAGACTGATAAAAAGGTCTGTTAGAGTCAGCCAAGGAAAGTAGATCTATGCAAAGTATACGAGATAGAAACCAGTACAGCATTGTTCCAGAAAGCTGATGGAGAAAAGCTTCCTTTCTCTCTACATATGTATTAAAGGAGAGATACCTTCCTAGGGGAGAAGAAATATCGGGCTGCCAGAGTCCTCTTCAAACTATGATAAACAAGCTATTGAGCAAGAGGTGCTGCATATAACATGATATCTTAATAGAGGAATTACTACCCTTTTGTTCTTCACTGGTCTCTTTCATGTAGGAAGGTTTCTGTGCTCAGATAGACCTTCCCTGTCACAGCTCTCAAATAGTCTCTTCCCCCCTGCCCCAGATTATTGCTCCTCGTGGCACTCTGAAGCATTCTCCACTTAAAATGGAAGAAACCCACCAGTGATTCTCTTGTAACTGACACCTATGCAACCAGTATTTTCCCTCAGTCCTGGATGAGCCCTTGTCAGCAGCAACTGCACATCAGCTGCTTCCAGTAGCATATTGCCTACTGGAAGTGCACCCAGCCCATAGTGTGGTAAAAACCTTTTCTGCAGTGTGCCTCTCACCAATGCAAGATCTATCTCTGTTCTTCAATGCAAGATCTATCTCTGTTCTTCCTCTAGTTCATTCAGCAGCTCTCTCTGGGTAATGGCTCTCTGTGGAAGCCCTAAAGGTTATGGCACTTCATAGGTTATCCTGGGAAGCTAAGTAATGTTCTAGCTCACCTTCAAGGGAGCCTTAATCTCAAGTACAAAGTCCAAAGACAGGCCTAGGCTAAGCTGCCCTCCATCGGGGAATCCATATTCTCCTAGAGAGCACTCACATGTCTCTAAGTAAACAGGATAAACAGAAAAAACTTCCTTTTTGAAGGAAGAGCAAATGTTTTTCACACAGGAACTATAAAGATGTGCCCGCAAAAACCACTTCAGCTTCCTGAAGGAAACCGCTGAGAGAAACTCAGAGGGGAAGGCAAGAAAAGAAGGCTCAGAAGTTCCTTTGCAGTCTTCTCCAGGAGAAAGACATGAGATTCACACCGACATCTGTGCAGAGGAAGCTCAAGGTAAGATGAGAGACACAGCACAGTGAAATACACTTCAACAACAACCACTGTTACCTCAGCAACAGGCGCAGATTTTCCTGTTTCTCGATCTGTTCATACTTCACAGAAAGTACCAGGTAGCCCAAGGACATGTCACTGGAGTAAAAGTTCTGGTGCTCCTGAAAACAGGAAGCCAAAATTCATTATTCCCAACATGCTTCCCAGAGAAGTTTACCAAATTTTTTACATACAACCTGTCACTCAAGATTAGCTAATTTTTTCTTTAACTAGCAATGGCATGCTTGAAGACATGCATATGCTGTCTCCCAGCCCCCTTGGTGATCAATGCATGAGCATATCAATCAAAGTTCATCCACTGTCAGTTCAGTTCCCTCACAGCTCTCCATCATAAGAAGGGCTCCTGAGAAGGAATAGGATGAGAACATTCAGCAACACATTTTGAAGAAATCGAGTTTCTTGTAAATAAACTCGTATGTTCATCAACTTTCCCTGTATCCATTCAGACTCTGCATGACCAAGTAGTGGACTCCAGCACATTCAACTGGATGCGGTCATGGGAATTTTTCTATACAAACAGTAATGGCAGGATCATTATACCAAAGAGTTGATCTCTAAGAGCACTCACATCTCAAGGAGAATGCAGTCAGAGCCCCAAGTAACTACTCTGCAGATGAAAACTGCTCTCAGCAGTGTCCCTAACACTGCTTGAGCTTCAGTGGAGCATGCCTCAAACCAGGAGTCAAACAATGAACCATAATGCAAACGTTTTCACAGGCTCTATATAGAAGTGGCTGTGGCCACACATTTCTCCTAGGTATAAAGCCATGTTCCAATGGCTTGGGTATATCTATATATGTTTTATATATTGAGAGAGAGATATTATCTATGTAACATATGTTGATATATATAACTGCTAACCTCAAAAGGTTAAAAGCCTTTTGACAAGGGATGTGAATGGAAACCTCTAGCACAATGAGAATACCATATAGGTGGAATCATCCAGAAATGCTTAGATTGCTCCCATCTTCCTAGTGGAAAACCACTTTATGGCCAGTTTTTGGAACTGACTGCTACAGAAACTCTGACCAAACAAACAGCTGAGACTGAACTCATGCTTTCAGCGAACAGTCCAAAATTACTGGGTTTAAGGTATAATTAGGACAGAGACACCAATGAGAATGTCACACAGGGGATACGATTCTCTTTGGATTACATTTGATTAGAGTAATATCTTGATCTCTTGCTGCTAATGAGAACTTATGTTGAAAGGGGTAGTAGCACTTTCCAGTATTTAGCCTGCAACCCAGGAGAATATAGTGAGATTGGTATGGTACTTCTGAGCTAGCAATGATGAAAGTTGGGGTAAGACTCCTTCTCAGCAAAGCAAAATAATAAATAAAACAAAATAAAACAGAATAAAGAATCCCAAAACCAAAATAGTCTCAGCTACCCTACAGCAGGCAGAATTATCAGTTCCTCCATTATGCCTTCGGACTGCGAACATCAGGAGAAAGTCACACAGCAATCTGCTGACAGTGGAATCAGCAATGTGTCCATAGAGATCTTCAGTGCAGACAAAAGAAAAATCTAGGCTTTCTTTTGCTATCTTTGCAGACAAATCCTGGGATTTTCCAAATCCCAAATTATGTATTTCAAGATATCCAGCTGGATTTCCCACCTGTGGTTCTGTAGGACTCACTGAGGAGTGAGATACTCACAGGAGAGAAAACGCACACACTTTAATGGGGAGCTTGATTCCCAAATACCACTTGTCAACTGTTTCACAGAGAAGAGGTACCAACTGCTATCTTGTTCATTGATATATTTTCTGATAGCATTGCCCATCACCAACTTACTTGAAAGAGATAATCAAAGTCCTCTGTATACATTTTAGTGTGTACAGATTCTGTTCCAATGCAAACCAGTGGTTTTATGCTTTTTGGTTGTAAAAATTATCTCCTGAGCCTAAATACAAAGTGTTTGCCACGGTCAAACATAGAGGGGAGAGATAAAACACCATTCCCATGCAAATAATGACTGGGCTGTTCTGCCACCAGAATAGCAGTCATCTCAAATCAAAGACAGAGACACTTGCAACTTGAGAAGACATCCAGGGAACACGAAGTCAGTAACCAGGATTGCAAGTCTCAGAGGGAGCATCAGAGGAAACATTGTATAAATGCATCCCTGTGCATGACACAGAAGTGTTATGCACTGGGACAGTAAGTTAAGTGTCCAGCTGTGCTGTCAGAATCACACTATTTGGAATGTGTTCTGTGAAAGGAATACTCCAGACACAATTAAATAATAATAAGGAGTCAATGGGAGCAAACTGTGTAATCTGATCAAAAAGAGTTGGTAGTCTGAGAGTTCCTTCCTCAGCCTCTTGCCTAGAAAATACAGAAGGTGGTCTGTCTCCAGTGGATTGCAACCTCTCCCAACACACTGGTGAGATTGCCTTTTGCTGTGGAAAAAATGTAAACAATTTTTTGTATTAGTCATAGTTCTGACTCACTGTGAAATAAAGATACATCTAGTGAAATACTTTGATATCTATGTGGACATAGGCATCTTGAAGTCAATAGACATAAACCAATCCCCTCTTTGGACAACAAAAAAAAGGAATAACTAAGACTATAGTCACTACCCTGAACCTGGATGTAAAAATGAAGCTATTGAGTTTCTTTAAGTATTAGAAATATCACTGTCCTCACTTCCTCTTTGAGACAGAAAAAACCCAGAACTGCCCTGCCACTGATTTATGGCAAAAAACTTTCATGGCTTCTGGTGCAAGCAGAGTCTACCTTCTGCTGAAGCAGACTGAATGAGTGGGTCCTGAAAAAGAGACAGTATAAGTAAAGAGCAGCAAAGACTCAAACAGAATAACGTGGCCTCTAGCTACCATGTTCAAATCACAGAAGTCAATGGTAGTGACTGAACTTATCTGTACGTGGGAAGAAAAACTGAGATTAAAGGAAGCCACAAAGGCAGAGAGCACAGTTTATTTCTCCTGACCATGACTTTCAGGATACTAACAGATTTTTGGGATGTGAACAAGAATCAGGTGCAGTAACCGTTGTGACCAAGGGCAGAAAGACAGAGCATCTGAGGACTAGATCTCCTGAATTCAAGGAGCAAAACAGGAGCATGCTCAATGGTCTGTTAAAGTCTAGAATCAAAGTCCATAAACCAAAGTAGTCATATGCTAGGGTGGATGCCCAAGGCAGGCTGTTCAGGAAAAAGACGGCACAATGCCAGTGAAAGTCAGGACTAGAAGGCAGAACAAATAGGAGCCAAAGCCTGAGGTTAGCTGCAGCCAAAAGTAACACTGAGCTGCCAAGACCAGAAAAAAGGATGCCTTTTGATGAGACTTCTAAGCCAGACCCCAGCAGGTCTGACACATTGGGATCTCAGTTGCTTTGGAGACTAGGCTATGAGCTCTGCAGCCAGCATAACCAGGCAGAGCTGTACAAAGGGATGCAATCTTCACAGGGGAACAGGCACCAGAATTAGTGGAGGTCTTGAAGTAAGTGAATTTTTGTCAAAGCTACTCTGGCTGCCTAGCTTGATCCCAAATGTAAGCCTGGGTTTTAAACTGAGATCTGAGTAATTGTATGTATGAACAAGAGTATAATTTCCTTTGTTATGAATTTTTATTTTTCCTCTGCAATTTTCTTTCTCTGTAAAAGCACATAGGCAACAGAAGGCAGACCAAGAGTCCTTCAACGTAAAACAGCAATTATCATTAGCTGTCCTGAAGTTAGAGATGAACCATCAAAAGACTTTATGGTTAATACTGAAGACTGCAACTCAGCGATGACAAGATACCCTGGAGCTGAGATGACCTATGTATAGGTACAAATTTATTCAGCCATAGAAGCAGTTTATTTAAGGCAGTCTGAAAGGAAGTTCTGGATTTCAAATGCACCTCTGTAAAAGCAATTAAGTACCTTCCATGAGGCCAAGGGAAAAGACTAACAGAATACACAAGGAGCGCTGACAGTTTGCCTGAGACATTATAAAGCTATTAAGACATCTGCCATGTTCTTACTGCTTGGGTTCTTTTTGATGAAATGAAGTAATTTTTCTCTATTCAGTAGCAGCAATTGCACCAAAGATGAACAAACTAGACAAAAGCAAAATCATAGAATCACTTTAGTTGGAAAAGACCTTTGAGATCATCGAGTCCAACCTTTAACCTAACACTGCCATCCCACCACTAAACCATGTCCCTAAGCACCTCATCTATCCTTCTTTTAAATACCGCCAGGGATGAGGACTCTACCACCTCCCTGGGCAGCCCATTCCAGAGCCTGACAACCCTTT